ATTTTTTACCTGACCGCACCAGAAGGAGAGCTTTTGTGTATTGTACTTGTATTATGTCGATTTCTTTAGCATGCTCTGTAGCCTAAACGGGTTGGTGAATTTTAACATATGGGGAATTGTTGGTTTTGTTTTAGTCGTGGAAGTGACATGGAGTTTAAAATTTTTCGTTTATTTACGTAGTCGGTTTTTTTAACTGTTTAACCATTAAGCTTATAACGTTTGAGTCTGTTCAATATCCAGCCCCAACTATGGATTTCAAAAAATATACATAGGAATTTGGGGGTTGAAAAGCAACATTATATAAAAATTTTAAGTGATATCGACTTCTAATCGATATTTAAGATTTTTAACAAACGGATATTTATATTTAAATGAAGATGTCAAAGCCAACTAGCTAAATTAGCCTCTCAATTAACAGCCTAGCCTTTTTAGTAAAGGACGGCATTCAACTAGCGGCCTGAATGACATTCCGTCGATGTATCTAATGAACATTACAACTATCTTGTAAAATTAGCGACAGTAGGTTAAGGTGCGCCTGGACCAACTTAAAGCCGCGTATATTTATATAATATAGCACAAAGGGCATAATTCGGTTTGAAATGTTGTATTAAACGTATCGGCTGAAACGCATGGGCTTAATATTTTTTATTAAGGCATCTAGTTAATAGTAAAAAGCTAGTTGGCTGCAACATAGATATAGCAATATTAGAAGCCAGTTACTTTTTGTTTTAAATAGAAAGTTGCATACTGACACGGAATTTTGAAATATACATTATTATATGTAATATATACAAGTCTATTAATTATCATGTTGTTATTATAATATGTAAAGAGAGAAATTTAAAAAGAAATTTAAAAATAAAAAAGCTGGAGGAAACTTAAGGATATTAATAAAATGAAACAATGTAATTTTACAAAAGTCATGTAAAAAAACCTTTACTTTCCTTAATTGATCGATCTTTTGTTATATTTAGTATATGTTTTATTAACTTTTTCAAACTTTGTTATATTTATTATATTATGTTTTATTTATTTTTCCAAATTTACTATATAAAACATCTATCAATTTATTACTTAAATAACTGTAGTTTTGTGAATAATATTGAGAAGCTTGATAGTAGTTCATAAAACAGTTTCAAAAAATTGTATTTCTTCATCAAATTTGTATTTGTCAAACTTCATATTAAAACTACTTTTGGCAAATTTCAATCATCTACATGAAATCGAAGAGAATATAAAAAGAGCGTTTGTGAAATGAAATGAAATGAAATGAAATGAAATGAAATGAAGATTTATTTGCTTTGAAAAAGGTTACATTAAGGTGGTTATTACAAAGTATAGTACAGCTTTTTCAGCCATCAATGGATAGCATGCAAATACATTTTTTATTATTAAGATTATTTAGTGTTTTATTAAAATAGCGAATTTAATTAAAATATATCATAAAATAGTCATCAGTTAGAAATTATCAATACATAATACCAATACATACAAATTTAAAAATAATTAAAATTGAAAATGCAATTAAAAATATATAACTACTGTTGTGTCACATCATGTCAAATTTAGGTAGTCATTCACATTATAAAAACAATGATCATTTAGCCACCTGTAAAGGGCGCCTTTAAATCTATTAAGGGGCAAGTCTTTGATATGTCGGGGTATTTTATTAAATATGAGCATACACATCCAGAAGCAATTTTTTTTAAACCGAGCACTCTTGGGTATAATTTCAGCAGCAAGTCTATTGCCATTTCTGGTATTTTGCGTATAAACCTCTTTTGCTTGTCTGAAATAATACATGTTTTGTTTTACAAATTTTGCAATTTCAAAAATGTACAGGCATGGGAGTGGTAGTATTTTTAGAGATACAAATAGCGGCCTGCAAGGCTCATCAGGTGCAGCGCCACATATTGCTCTAATACATTTTTTTTTGGGCAATGAATGCCTTTTTTTGCATCTGTGCTATTGCCCCATATAATAAGCCCGTATCGCAGTACGGATTCCACATATGCAAAGTACGCAGTAAGTGCTGTATTTTTTGTGGCTACTTTGCTTAGTTTATAAAGTGCGTACGAAAATCTATTTACTTTTTTACATACATGTTCAACTTGACATTTCCAATTTAGTTTTTGATCAATCCATATACCTAGGAATTTTGTCATATTTGTACTTTTTAGTGTTTGTCCTTCAAAATTAATGTTCATTGTCTGGTATAATATGTCATTGAAATTTATAAAATAAGTTTTGTCAAGATTTACAAGTAGGTTGTTATTTTTAAGCCATTCTATTATTGTTTTTACAGTACTGTTAATATCATTAATGTGATCTTTAAGTGATTGTTTACCATCTGTTTTTACTATTACAGATATGTCGTCAGCAAATAAAATGCATTTGTGTTTAGTTACATCCGGAAGATTATTTATATATACTAAGAACAACAGTGGTCCCAAAACGCTACCCTGTGGAACTCCATATTTGTTTTCTTTAAAATCTGATTTGTGATTTAGGACCACATGATTACTGTCTGGTTTGCTTATTTCAACAGATTGACGTCTATTTTGCAAGTAACTTTTAATCCAACTTAAAGCAGTGCCTCTAATGCCACATTTTTCCAATTTTACCAGTAATGAATTATGTGAGACAAAATCGAAAGCCTTCGACATGTCAAAGAAGAGTGCAGTTGTATAATTATTAGCATTAAGGCACGTTAGTGTCTCATTTACCATATCGAAAACAGCATGTGTAGTAGATTTTCCCCTCTGGAACCCATACTGAGTGGGATTCAGGACATGATACTTGTCAAAGAACGATGTGAGTTTAGTATGCATAATTTTTTTATATACTTTTGACAAAATTGGCACGAGCGCAATAGGGCGGTAATTATTCAAAATTGATTTTTTGTCTTTTTTGAATAAAGGCTTAATCAAGGAAAATTTAAGTTTATCAGGAAAGATACCAGAGATTATTGATAAGTTTATTAAAAATGCCAAAACCCTACCTATTTCTTTGTTGCATGCCTTAATTACTTTAGTACAAATGCCGTCATACCCTTCTGAGTCACTATTATTCAAGGTCATTATTACTTTATTTATATCATATTCGTCAACAGGGTGTAGATAAATAGAATTATTTAAAATTAGATTGGATTTATTTTTTGGTATATTATTTTGGATATCTTTGTTTGTCAATTCAATGAAGAAATTATTAAAAGTATTTGCGATTTGTGTAGGAATAGTAATAAATTTGTTGTCATATTCAATAAAGTCAATGTAGTTATTATATTGCGGCTTGGTATCTATTTCATCCTGTATGACCTTCCAAGTAGCTTTGCAAGTATTTTTGCTGTTTATCACATATTTATTATTAGTTATTTTTTTAGAACATAGTATGCATTTTTTAAGTAGTTTTGAATAAACTTTGTATTTGTGTTTATTTTGAGGAGTTTTTCTCCTATAGTAGTTTTTTCTTAGGACTCTATTTTTCGCGCAGCTATTCCTGATTCCCTTAGAAATCCATTTTAAATAGGATTTTGAAGAAAGTCTAACTTTTTTATATGGGAAGCAGAGTTTGTAAAGAAGGCATAGCCAATCATGAAATTTATTAAACGCAGTATTAGGTTCTGTTTCGCTGTAAACATCGGAGAAGGAAAGGCTCGCCAAATATTTTTTAAACTTATCTATATTTTCAGAAGAATAGTCCCTCCTATAGGTGTATAAGGTTTTTGGGGGAGAAGTCTTTGATATAGTACTGAAACCAAGAATTTGCGCAGTATCGTGGTCCGATAAACAGAGAGGGAGGTTAAGTCCAGTTGCACCTTTAATATTACTAAATATATGGTCAATACATGATAGGTCTCTAGTAGGTTCCGTGATATGCTGAGTAAGATTATAATTTTGGAGAATATCTAGTAAGTTGTTGGTCACATTATTTCTTATTAAAGTATTTATGTTGATATCTCCCACAATCACAATTTTTTGCTTCGAGTGCTTATGCAAATATTTACTAAGCACAAACTCCAGTTTATCGAAAAAACATTCAAAATGCCTTTTTTTTGTAGCAGTTGAAGAACGGTATACGCAGACAATAATTATGTTGTGATAAGGTATTTTTATTGAGCAACATTCAAAATGAAAGTTGGCTGAAGCCTCGTCGAAAATGGTTACTTGCTTGAATGCTATACCTTTTTTTACCATTATGCAGGTTCCACCCCTTTTCTTGTTTCGTGAATAGTGGGCCGCAAGTTCGTAATTATGTATATTGATATTTTTTTCCTCACCACACTTTATGAAAGTCTCTGAAAAACAAAGCACATCCGGGGACAAATCTTGATTTAGTTCCGAGAGAGTCACTTCCATAAGTTCTTTTTTTGAAGATAATCCCTGTATATTTTGATGAAGGATTACGAATAAATTGTTATTATTGTTAGGAACGAAAAAAATCATGAATTTTGTTTTCGAGTTTTTGTGTTGTTTTATTTGGTGATTCTTTTGCTTTAACAGGGAAGTAATATGGTATTGTGCCTTTTTTATATACTTGCATGTTCGCGCTATTCTTTGAAATGTAATTGATCTTATTTGAATCCTTTTTTAATTTTAGCCCATTTTTAATATAATCGTGCTCATATTTTAGATAATCTATTTCTATATTCAATTTAGTACATATTTTATTTTTAGACGATATTGTATTTAAGCTGGTGCAGTTATTCAGTAATTTGTTTATGTCAATAAAAGTACAATTTTTATAGTTTTTTACAATAAGTTTGATTTCAGCATTAAGTTTATGAACATTTAGATAATTATTTTGTTGTACGCTTAACAAAAATATTTTACAATGCTTTAAGTTACATAGCGTATTGCATAAGTTAGTTAAAAAAAGGTAAGGATTTTTGTCATTACAACCTGCAGATAATATCAGTATGTCATTATTGTTTAAAGAATCTTGTAAATAGGTGCAGCTTCTTAGTACTTCTGAGCTCGATGCGAATGGTTTTACCATACCAGAGACGGTGTAGCAATCATTATGTAATCCAGTACGTGATAATTTTAATTTCGCTGCCAAGCCTCTAGCCTGTTGATCACCGATTATATGGATAATAGGCTTCCTCATCTTTTTTTGATTAGCAGAGTCATCTAGCGACGAGGCTGGAGAACTATTATGGATTTGATGACTCGGGGTGCTTAGATCGCCGGCGCTTCCTCGATGACTTTTTTCTTTAGTCCTAGATGGCGTGCTACTAATTTGTTGTAAATTATTAGAGCTACATTCCTCCTTTTCATCTTCCAGAAAATCCAAGACTGTTTTGTTTATACTCTTTCTGGTTTTTCTGGTCGTGGTAGTTTTTTTTAAGGTTGGGCTACATATATCTGCTAAAAATTTTGTTTTTATTTCATGTTTGCAAAGTAATTGTTTTAATTTTGTATTTTCTAATAAAATATTTTCTATTTCAGCTTCAGCAATTTGTAGTTTTTCTTTTAGTTCTCGATTTTGTGTCTCAAGATTTTCTATTCTATCTTCCATGTTTAACTTTCTCAAATCTGGGCAGCTATTAGTTTTGCTATTTTGCGTTAATATGGTCATTATATCCGAGTTTTCATCGTCAGTTAAGATCTCGAACGAGTTATTTGTAGGAACATTTACTGACAAATTGTTTTGCGCATTTAAGAAGCATTGGTCACATTTCCATTTTGCTTTATTATCCTCGGTCATCAATGAAAACCTCTTAACAGAAACATTTGCGCAATCAATATGGTAATTTTGTGTACAAAAGAAACAGCACACTGTGACATAGATAGATACCCTAAAATACATAATGAAAAATGGAAGTATCCAATGGTAAGTGTTTTTAGCATCTTAACGTGGAACATAATTATTTCATTTTATCCTGGCGATCCTGATCAAGATACTATGATAAAGTTATTAAATTATTAAATCATCATCGGTCCTTGATACGAGTGCGGTCAATAAGTTGGTGAAAATTACATTTGAAGACTTCGTAATATAAATAGATAGATTTTATGTAAATAAAGATAGATAAATCCAGGCAAAGCTAATTATAGCGTGTTAATAAAAACAACGCATGAAACGTGACCCTAATGTAATATAATTAGCCTTTTTCATTTGATATAACTTTTACACGGTTCCATTATAAAGTCTATGCAAAGTATTCAGTAAAATACGTTCAATTATTGTGAAAAGATTGTGTTTGATTTCAGTAGAGTGAGAGGTTCAAAGGTTGTCGTAAAGCGACAATTAAAAACTAAAGAACCTAACCTAACAACAACGAAACAACAAAAATAGAACAAAAACGAATAATTTATTTAAAATTTTATATAAAAAATATGAAGATGATGATGGGTGACGTGAATTACAATTTTTTTTTAAATTTAATAAAGATAAGTGAGTACTGAAACGGAGCCCGAAGACCAAAGTGGCACACCGCGCATGGCAGTGGTGCTCACCGCTCACGGAGTATGCACAGGCTATGCCAGTGGTAGGTGCGCAGCGCCTGATCTAGGCACACGCAGCGTCTGGAGAAAGGCACACGCAGCGCTTGGAGTAGGCACACGCAGCGTCCGGAGTAGGTACACGCAGCGCCTGGAGTAGGTACACGCATCACCTGGAGTAGACACACGCAGCGTCTGGAGTAGGCACCACAGCGCCTAGGTAGATGCTCTCAGCGCCTGAAGTAGGCGCTCGCAGCGCCTGGAGCAAGCACGCACAGGGGCTAAAGATAGCGCGGGCACTAGTATGTGGAGGCGTAGGCGTGGCTAGGCGACGACTTGCGAGGTTTAAAAAGTACTGTGACGTTGTCCTTACGTATCACGTGAGTTAAGAATCGGTGCCTTCTTACATATTCTGGTGATCTATCCAATTTTATATAATAACGGAGATGTAAAGTAAAGTAAAGTTACAGCCCTTATACGTCCCACTGTTGGGCACAGGCCTCCTCTCATTTATGAGAGGGTTTTAACAGAGATGACTCTAAACATATTCACAGACTGCAAACATCCCGAGGAGTTGGTGCTTCACAGTTTTATACTTAAGCTGACGCTAGTTGGGCTTAACGATGATATTAGGTCGTTGAACATCTCAGTTCCACAAGGTTGCTGGAAAGCGATCGAATCGTCGGAACTAAAAATATTTAAATGATAATTAAACGCGATAAAAGTCATAAAATCAGTTTTATTCTGATTTTTTAATAGAATGAAATACTCACAATACGAAACACAGCAGCATTAAGCTTCTATTTTACGTTGCTATTCTGTGAGATCGTGGTCCTAACCCACTTGAGCCGGCCCATACGTAATATATACACAACCATAATATAGCTGAAGCATAACTCTACCACGTTTGACATTATAATAGTGACAACATCGACACAACTTTAATATTTAAAACAACTGTATCTGTCAACAGGTCATTATAAAAGCTATAAATGAACAACTATCAAGTGAACTGCAGATTTCAATTATGTCTCAAGTGAAGAGTGCTAATTAGTTATTGATCTCACTCAATATGAATTTAGATTCTCGAACGTCTTCAAATATTTTTACTAAAATTATTTATGTCGTAAATCAATTTTTATCAGCTAATTAAGCAGAGGCAATAAATTTATCACAGTTCTCTCAGGTTTCGCGGTGTTATGTGCCATCTTACGAATGCTTAGCAAGACAGCAATCATAATATCGAAACGTTTTTACGGCATTTTTAAGGTTGACAAACTGAGCACACAGTCCATATGATGGTAAGTGGATGCTGTGGCCAATAGAAATTTCTATTGGCCACATATATTTCTATAGAAATTCTATTTCGATTAAGAACCACAATGAAGATACGTTGTCACCTCTGATACCTATTTATAAAAAATGATAAAATGCATCTTTTTCATTAAAAAGGGTATCCAGTTCTCTACAGTAACCAATGGAAACAAAGCAGTTTTTAACTGCTATCTTACGCTGACGTTTTGTGAGAGTATGGTTTAACCCCAATCGAGGCGAACTATTTGTTAAAAAGGCGAACTATGTGTTCAAGCAAAGGAGCAAATATTACCTGCAGCCTTCGGCTCGTGCAAGCTAGCCTAGCTCTGCAAGGTTCATTGCAATACTGAAATAACGTTTCCTGTTCTTCCATGTTTGGTATGAGTCTGAGCCTCACTACTCGTCTCTGTTTTACGGCACTTTTGCAGATTACTTGTTATCTTCTCTGTTCACGGCAGATTACCCTTGGCACTTGCATTTTCCTTAATAACATAGATAATATTATCACGCAGCGGCACTGTTGTCACGTAACTAGGGTAAACGACCTGAATTTTTCGAACAGCTCTTTAATGTATATAGAACAAGCTTCGCACGTATCATAACAAGCGTTGGCAGCTATCCCTAGGCTAAAAAGCGAAACCCCAGTGAATGATCACTAAATAAAATACTATTAATTCACAGCTTGTTTTACTACAATATAAGGCGGAACACACGGAGTTCTAACAAATACTGATACAATATATTATATTCTACCTCAATTACATTCCATTTTTGTCTTCGGAAATTCATGGGTCTGAATCAACAATTCGACTGCTAAATCATACCTAATACACTCAATAAGTTTCTCTTTTGACTTATTTGTAAATTAAATTAAAAAAGTGAGACAAGAATATTGACATAATTTATATAGAAATTCATCTAATAGATTCTCTCTATATATACATGTATATGTAATTACTCTAAGGTGTTTTGACATTCCTCAACTCAGCAGAACAAAAATTGGGATGGCATGCAAAAATTTTGCCAACATCTATTTATTTATCCTTGGTAGATTAGTACTATCCGTTTTTACGAATTCGTCTTCCATGATGCCTTTTCAATAAAATTCGGAATAAAACTCAATAATCGTAATAATAACTTCAAAATTTCGAAATAACACAGCACGTTAGCTAGTTCTCTTAATCAGTGACACAGAACACTAATATCCTTAGGCTGGATCAGTGACGTCACGAAATGTCTAATATGGCCGACAGCATTTTGCAGTGGAAATTTAAAATTTATAATGCAAATTTATAAACAAAAATCAACATTTTTTGTTTAATTTTTACAAAATCCAAAATAAATATATATTTTTTGATTTTATTTTACATGGTGTAAAATACCCTATTAATAAATTTCCCCATTCTGTATACTCTTTAAATATTAAAATGAGAGAAAATAATATTTTGTGAAAATTATGTCTAATTATCATTTAATTTTTGACTAATTAAAAAAAAAGAAAATATTAAATAAATTTATGCTACAAATTTTCCATCTTCGTGGTATAACGAATAAATAATACAAAGATAACATAAACGGACTCAGTAAATTAGAAATCCGACATTCCTTTGAACAATCTTTTCTTCAGATCTCTCGTATACGTGATATTATCGTATTATATTTAAATTATTAATATAAACGTAATTTAAAAATTGTGAAAATGGAAAACATTGTTTCTTTACTTTTAAAAACATTATTTTCAAAATAATAATTAATTCCGTATCGAGAAACCGTATTATATATACAAACTAGCTTGTCAGGCAGACGTTGTTCTGCCCTTTTCGACGACCCTTTGTCATGTCCTATTAAAATCCTTAAATTCGCAAGAAAGAAATGTGGGTCACTCATGGCCAAAAAAATTATCCTATCTCTCAAGTTGGACCGAACTGAACACGGTGTACACATTTGATTAAAATCGGTTAAGTAGTTTAGGAGTCCATCGCGGACAAACAACGTGACACGTAATTTATATATATTGATAAACAACTGGTAAACATCGACGTTTGCTATGTAGTGGCGGTATGATGACAATCATTAACCCATATTCACTATACCATACCCGTGGGTGTTATAAGAGGAAACAGAGGGAAACAAAACAGGAGATGGACATCAGCGTCTTCCTATTAAAAACTAGAAAATAAGAAACTGTTTTTTCAACCCGTCTGCCAAGCGAGGCAACTATTAAAGAATCCCCTGACTTAATATCAGGTAGGATAGTGATCAAGAACTGGTTTAGAATGTTTGATGGAATGAGATGAGGAAATATTTAGGAGGATAATTTAACATAATTTTTCGATTGCTTAAATTCGAAGCTGTGATAGTCTATATAAAGAAAAAAGAGTCGCAGCAGGACAGTCTTGAGAGCATGTACGAGGGCGGCACTGAAAATTTCGGGAATCAAGGAAGTGACACAACATTACTATTTAAAAATGCATTTATTGCTTTTCGAAGTATTCTTCGCGAAATTTGACACATTTTTCCATACGATGGAACCAATCATTGAAGCAACCATTCCATTCGGAAGTTGGGGTCTCCAAAATGGCCGTTTTGTAGGCGTCCACAGCTTCTTCACGTGATGAAAATCTCTGTCCACGCAATTTATTCTTTATTTAAGGGAAATTATAGAAATCATTAGGGCTTAGGTCGGGGCTGTACGGCGGATGGTCTAATAATTCTATGTTTTCTTGCTCTAAAAAGTCTTTTGTTCTGTGTGCGGTGTGAGAACTCGTCGTGATGGAGGATGATGCGGCGGTTGCAGTTCTCTTTACGGAGTTCAGAAACGACCTGTGGCAAACAAATGCTAGCATACCATTCTGCATTAACTTTTTTTTGTCCCTCAGGAGGAATAGTCGTAACATGGCCGGTTTTGGAGACAAACGTGGCCACCATTTTTTTTGCAACACTCCGTGA